CGACAGCCACCCTGGTGGTGCTGGCACCACCTCGCAGCGCCCTCTCCACGGCCTCGGTGCTTCTCCTCCCCCTGCTCCTCCAGCTCCCCGAAGCCAGGACAGCGTGGGGCGCGGCCCCGCGGTGCCGGCACAGCGCTCACCTTGCTCTGCCAGGCGGGGCCCGGCCCGGCGTCGGGCGCAGCGGCAGCGACTCCCACCGAGTCCATGGGGCACGCAGGGGCGGGCGGCGACAGGAGCGGGCTCTCTCCGCGGGGCAGCAACGCTCCGACTGCGAAACCTTCCGGGTCCTCCGCGCTTCTCCGCGGCCGTCGGGCGGCCCATTGGCCGGGGGTGACCCGCCTTTCCGGTGATGTCACCGGGGCGGCCGTGGCCTCACCGGCGGCGTGCGGAGCCCGGAGGCGGAACCTGCCGGCGGAACGTCCGCCCGCCCGGCCGGCCCTACCCACCCGCGGGCTGAGCTGGCCTGGTGGTAACGCGAAAGGGAGAAATTAAATAGCTAACGTTTGTTTTTTATCTCAGGAAGTAGCCAAGGGAACGTAGGGAGGAAAAAAACCCCAACAAATCAAACAGTAAGCCAGGCAAAACAAATGGATGAAATGGAGTCCAGAGAAGGGCAACGGAGCTGGTGAAGGGTCTGGAGCACAAGTCTGATGGAGAGCGGCTGAGGGGGCTGGGGGTGTTTATCCTGGAGAAAAGGAGGCTCAGGAGTGACCTTACCGCTCTCTACAGCCACTGAAAGGAGGCTGGAGCCAGGTCGGCCTCTTCTCCCCGGCAACAAGTAATAGGACCAGAGAACACAGCCTCAAGCTGCGCCAGGGGAGGTTTAGACTGGACATTAGGAAGAGTTTCTTCACAGAAAGGGTGATTAGATTGGAGTGAACTGCCCAGGGGGGTGATGGAGTCACCATTTCTGGAGGTGTTTAAGGAAAGACGGGATGTGGCACTCAGTGCCATGGTCTAGTCTACTTGGTGTTTGGTCATAGATTGGACTCAGTCTCAGAGGCCTTTGCCAACCTAACTGATTCTGTGAAATGAAATATTTGGCATTTGTTTTTATTACAGGAAGTAACTGAAGGAACACAAAAAATTACAACAGATTAACCAAAGCATAAGCAAACAAATTAATTTTATCCCAGTCCTGTAAGTCACTGTAGATATAAGTTGAAATACTTTGTATGTGACTTGCTGCCTTTTACATCTCGATTTTATATGTAATATTTATCTGGAAAATAGTATTGTGACTAAAGTGCCCTATTTCCAGGACAGCAGCAATGGGATAATGTTGTGCTATGACACATTAGGTCTACTTGGTCAAGTTTCCTTAAAGGAAGGAAGTAATGCCTAGAAATCCCCTTGCTGGCTCATCACCATCTGTTGAAGGTATCTGTCTGCAGTCAGACAACTGTGCTGTCACAGTCACTGTTGATAACCTGAAAACCAGCCTGGAAAGCTGGGTGGCTGCAAGGTAAGAAGTTGTAAGGGGTTCTGTGGCATGCCCCAGCCTGCTCGGAGTAAGTTCCCTGTTTTACATCTAGCAAAGCCTGTACTGCCAGGCAGGCCTAGTAAAGGCCATCCATATCAATTCTCAGCCATGCAAGAATCAACTTTGTCGGCCAAAGTTCCTCTTATTTGTCCTTAGCAACCTGCAATGACGTAACACATTACAATCTCCTAAGACACACTGTTCCAGGGTTCATTACCCCAGAAAGTTCCTAGCTAAAAGACAAACCATCTGGAAGAGGGTAGGGACCCAGGCTGTAACACACAACCTGCAGGCATGACACAGGCTTGTGCCACAAAGGCATTTTAGGATCATAGAATCATTTAGATTATAAAAGACCTTTAAGATCATCAGGTTCATTGGTTACCACAGCACTGCCGAATGCTGGCAAGAGTGGCTTTGTCTGGTGATGCAGTACCAGCATGTTTCTTACCCTCTCTGCACTTAGCCCTGGTGAAAAGAGATTATTTATTTTCCTTTGCAATTGCCTTTTGGGGTATGAAGATTACTGTCATACTCCCTCTATCTTCTTTGTCTAAAATTAACAGCTTTATATATGAGCAGAATATCAAAGCAATGTCCTGCTGCTCTGGGAAAAATCATTATTCTTGCACAGCTGTACAAGCACTGATTAAGAAAATGTGTTTTGGTAGGTTTTGATTCAGAAAGACATGAACAGTAACTATATATTCTTATGTCTTGTTATGAAGTTTTTAATTTTCAAAAATAAGTCTTCTGTTTTAGTCTCTTGAATATTTCCTGATTAGGCCTTGATCCCATGACCTCTCATATGAATGGATCAAGCATTGAACTGAATTGTGTTAAAAAGAAATGTTCTGTGAAATGATGTGTAAACAAAATAATTTGCAACACATTCATACCTCCCAATAAAAATAATTAAAAATCTAGATAGAGCAGAAATGTCCCTTCATATTATCAAAATAATTCCAAAGCTGCATAGTGATTACTTTGTACGTAATACAACTCAGTCCTGATAAACAACATTAGCAGAAATTTACATCTTCATTCTTAATCCCTCACTGTAAGTGGCATACAAGAATTCAAACCTGCCTCTGTATTTGGCTGTAAGAAAATATATCATCTTTGCCCCAGTCCCACTTGTACTAAGAAATACTGCAAAAAGCTCAGAGATATCACTGTAATATTTTGCATGAAAGTGATACCCCACTGTAATAAAAAGTCAAAGGTACTCTTACTGCATGCTTACATTAGTCTTTGTAGATATCCATAAACTTTACTTACTCTTTTTTAAAGCTTTACAAGCTGAATTTGTGGCACAATGCAAAGTGTGCCTTTGTTTGCCAAATACACTTTTGACATTTGTACATAAACAGGTGCTGTGCAAAGTGGAAATGCTGTATCACTCACCCTGCCATCTCTAACACATCCATTACAGTGGCTCATCAGTGATCTCCATGAGCCTGGATGGACCAAACATTTCAGCACTGGAAAATGATGTCTGTGTTGGACCACCACCTTAAAAACCTGATAGGATCACGTCTGATGCACCAAAATACTTGAATTTATCTTGGTCAGTTGTTTGGCTGTTGCACTCTGTTGACCTTGTCTTTTGAGGCTAAACATAGCAGGTTAGACAGGCTCATTTAGTGGATTTGACCACTTAGTGCCTCCCTCCCTCCCTCCCTAGTTTAAGCCATGCTCATAAATAAAGTTCCTTATTTATGCTGTTTTGCTCTGTCCTCTAAAAAGAGGGTGTACGTGTACAGAGAGGGCCTTGTACTTTGTGTTACCTGAACAAAGTCAAGGTAAGAACTGCAAAGATAGGGCCTTGCTAATACCAGGACTGGGAAAAACAAGGCTTACCTAGGCCATAATAAAAGATCACCCAGTAACCATGACCTCACAGGGCGTTTCTTTTCACCTGCCTGGGATATTTATAGTTCACACATCACCAGTGAATCATAGAATCATAGAATAGTTGCTTGGAAGGGGCCTTTAAAGTCAGCCATCTAATCCAGCCCCCTGCAATAAACAGTGGCTTCTTGTCATGAGTGTGTTTCAGACAAAATTTATTAGGGAAGCCCTCCCATTGAGCCATGAGGTGCAGAAAGGACCCCCTTGCTTTATAAATTGCTGCTCAGAGAGGAGCCAAGGTGCAGCTGAATCCAATCTTAGCCTCAGACTGTCAGTGGTTTAAGAAATTATAGAGGTGTGATTGAATTTTTGTACAACTTTGTCCTGTAGGATAAATGATGGCAAACCAGGTCTATTTATATAAAAATGAACGATTTATTATGATAAATTATTAAACAAAGAGATCTGACTCAGAATTATTTGCTACACACTATAGAAGATAAAACCACTAGGATAGGATGATACAGTGCAGTCTATCAAAGCAACTATATTAAAGCAATTCTAAATAAAACTAGCAGAAAGAAATAGTTATTAAAGCAGAGATTGATGTTAATCACCCATGCCAATGACCATGGGCAAAATCTCTTTCACTCAGCTTTAAGGACTCCTTAAGGACTAACTCTGAGGGGTGTGCCCACCCAAAGGAGGAATCTTCATACACACTCCAAGAAAGGATACGGTAGAAGAACCTAACCATATGTAAATGGACTGGACTTTTATAGTGTACAGTGACTGACTGCCACTCATATATCTCCAGGCCAGCTTAGCAGCTTGTCTGCCAAATCTTTACCTCACTGTCAGGATGCTAATTTGAGGCTGATGTGTCAGACTGGTGTTGTCATAATTCATCACCAAAACCAGCTTGATGCCCTCTTTCAGTCCACCACTGGACTAATAGCCTTGTAAATAAGGCATTGTCCAAGTTGCTTGACCACATTCCAGGGCAAGGCATCCTGCTAAACGTCTTCAACTAGATCAGGTTTCTCTGAGCCCCGTCCAGCCAGACTTTGACCACTTCTAGGGATGGTGTGTCCACCACCTGTTCCAGAGTCTCACCACAAGAAACATCTTCCTTACATCTAGTCGAAATCCGCTCTCTTTCAGTTTAAAGCTATTCCCCCTACCACTACATGTCCATGTAAAAAGTCCCTTTGCAGCTCTCTTACAGGTCCCCTTTAGGTACTAAAAGGCTGGTGTAGGGTCCCTCCAGAGCGTTTCCTTCTCCGGTCTGAATATCCCGAACTCTCTCAGCCTGTCTCCGCAGGAGCGGTGCTCCAGCCCTCTGACCAACTTTGTGTCCCTCCTGTGGACTTGCTTTATGTAACAGGTCTTTCCCGTGCCGAGTGCCGCGGAGCTGGGCGCAGCACTCCACCTGGGGTCCCACAAGGCAGAGGAGAGGGGACAATGTCCTCCCTCCCCGGCCGGTCACTGTTCGGCGGTGCCGCCTGGGCCACAGCTGCGCCCGGGCTGCGGCGCTGCGACCGCTCCGGCCGCCCTGGGGCCGGCCCGGCCGCAACGGGCCCGGCACGGCCGCCGGGCGGCAGCAGCGGCCCCGCAGAGGCGGCGCCCGCTGAGGCGACGTGTCCCCGGCCCGGCCGATGGCCGCCGCCCGCCGCGCCCGCGCTGACCGATGTATTTGAAGAGGCCGGCGGGCGGCCTCGCCTTCTGCCTCTTCTACCTGGCCTCCAGCTTCACCAACAAGGTGAGCGCGGGCGCGGGGCCGCCCTGCACTCGGACGGGCCGGGCGGGGCGCAGGGAGGTGCGGGGGCGCTGGCTGCCGGTCCGCGGCTGCGGGAGCGGGGGCCAGGGAAGTGCAGGATCCAGGGGCGGGAGGAGGAGAAAGACGGTGCCCTGTGCTTTCCCTGCCCTGCTCAGGGAGAGCCAGAGGACCAGCCCTTCCCGGACGGGACTACCCCAGGAGTGAAAAAGTCCGTGACACTCCAGCCAGCCGCCCATCCCTGTGTGCTCCCCAAACTGCGGATAGGGTGCCGGTTTCGTTTTGCTCAGTGTGTGACAGCTTTATCCTTCCACGACAAATGAGTTCCAGTACTGTCCTGTTTAGGAGAGCAAGGAGGTTGACATCATATCATTCCAATGAATGAAGTGTTATAGAGCCAGAAGTTATGCTGCACTGAAAGTATCGCTGATGCTGTATAAATTTCATTATCGGGTGTATGGCAACTGCACTCATTCCCACAAGAAGATCTGTTAACTGGAACAATGATATCAACTATCCAAGGGGAAAATGTGAAATATTCAAAGTATTATTTTAGAAGTGAAACAAATATTAACTTCCATGGCAACTTTGTTCCATTGACTACTTAATTAACAGACGAATTAAGGACAAGGATTTTGTTTTCCCCTGTGTAACAATTTCATATTAGTGTTGCTGAAGTGTCTAAGCGTAAGAAGTAAGCTGAAGATGGCCACATTGGGAATAAAATTGTATAATTTAAGCATAGTTTGAAAGTAGTTTTTTCACTCTGGGAGGAGGAGTTAGAGTAACTACTCCATGCTATCCTGTTTGTCAGAGAGCGTGTCTGTATTTCTGGTGTGGATTTCTGAAAGAAAAAAATATTGGTGAAACAATCGGGGTATGAATATTCTGAGGGAGGATTAGAGAAAAGCAGCATTTCATTTCAAAATGAAATCTTTTCTGGGCATTGGCCAGTGGTTCCAAGATACATTTGCCATTAAGGATGCTCAAAGGAGACTGAAGTCCAGACATGAAGCAAAGTTGTAGGAAGAGATAATTCAGTTGATTTGACAGACTGCTGGAAGCAGTGATTAGTTAAATAGAAAGGGACTAAAAGAGCTTCTAGGTTGCATCATGGATTGGGAAGGGTATTTATTTGGCTTAACTGTGATTGAGGGGAGGTCATAGGGACATTGACATAGGGCCTCCATTTTCAGACCTGCATGTAGGTTTTAGTGTAATAAAGTATAATATAACCAGAATATAGACCTTTCAGTTGTTGACGGTGGTGTGCAAATGCAAGCAGGGGTACAGACGTGTAGCTTGATTGTCCTGATTTAAAATGCACGTGGCATTTTTTTTTAACACAGCTGTATGTGTAAAAAGACCTGTTGTGAATCAACATGCCTTGTGTCTGTATGCTGATACCAGCTTATTAGTGACACCCCACAAACTTGAAAACTGGACCTTGCAAGGTGCTCAGCACAGTTTTTTTTCTCTCTGCTGAAATTTTTCAGCTTCTCCTTTTGCCCTTTACAGTTTCTGCTGGCTCCTGGAAGGAACAGCAGGTACCTTTCATTTCCTCTGAGGAAGCTTCAATCATTCTTCTCCTTTGCAGAAGTGGTATTTATATACTTCATCATGGCAAGTTGTTAGACCTGGAAGGCATGTATTTGTGCCTCACATTTGCATATATACATTTTTAGTGTGAAGAGACACTAGCATCCATACGCACAGGCCCAGACAAAGCAGGCTAAAGCAATGACACAGATTTTGCTTTTTACCCCCATGTATTACATCTCTAATGGGCTTTATGGGCTGCTTAATATTTTACACAATGCGAAAGCAGAATGTTAAATCTGTAAGATACATTAGCCATAAGGAGACAATTATGTTTAGATTATTGCTCTTGGTTCTGCCAAAGATTGCCTGTTTGGTATGATATGATTTTAATTGACTGGTGCTCATGGCTTTTTGTTCCTGTTAATCCTTTTCCATTCAGTGTGATGTATGGACTATGTTCAGAAAATGAAAGTGCAATTCAGATGACAGCCTTCTCCATTTTTCAGTATGTCCACTCCATGCCTCATGTCCTTTAGTGTCTTTACTTTCCACAGTGACTGAGGCAGCATCCAGCAGTTCTGGCCTGGGAAGTGTCATGAATGAGTGATTTAGGTCACTCAGAGAATCACCAGCAAAGGGATGGGCAAAAGTAGATTAATATTAAAGTGAAATCACAATAAAGTTTGTTGGTGAGGTTCATTCTACTGCCATCAATACTACATTATTACAATGTTACATCATTATTGCATTACTACATCATTACATCTATGTCATCACTCTTAGATGGTTAAAGCAGACAGAGGAAAATCAAACTAAAATCAATCAATCTAAAAATCAATAAACCAAAAATTATCTGCATGGAAGTAAGAACAGGAAAGGGAATAAGACACTGAGTCACAGCATTCATAGTGGACTCACTTGCCAAACTTAACCCCAGATTTGATCAATGGTTTAGTCTAAAGGTTATAGCAGCACTTAAACATAGCAGCTCTTAATCAAAAGCTTAATTTCAACAATTTAACAAAAGATTCATATAGAATTTAATATAGGCACGACAGTGACTCACTATCTTACTTATAAACCTGATGTACTTAAGAATCAAAGAGAGCAATGAATTCATAATGAATTTTCTACAGCATATCCACATTCACAGACACTCAGACCTAAAGGGACATGTACAAGGTATACCCAGGAAAAATTGCCCTCAAATTCAGTGAAGTACTCACTTTGTATGTCCTTGCATCTTCTTTATGAGCAAAAGATTGAGTCTTGAGTAGTGGTTGGTATCAGCCCAGGATCCATCATCATCCTTCAGAGATCTTCCAAGTGTAGCAAACTAGCTGGCTCTGGGAGGTGTCCCACTCAGAGGGAGGATGCTGATTGCATCCTGCTGTGGTCCAGGAGAGCTTAAAGGGTCACACTCAGGACTGCTGCCTATAGGGTCACAAGAGAGTTGGGTTTAGACAAAGCGATTTTCCTTCCTGGCCTCAATGCGGGTTGGTAACATTCTTTGAAAGTTCAATAATAAAAATGTTGTTCTACTTGGGTTCTTATACAGGCAAGAAAAATTAATCTCCAAAGCTGTTTGTTGAAAAGCAGGAGCTCACTGGACAGCATTAAGTTCCTGAGAGCTAAAGTGTTCCTGATGAGCTCAAGTGAAATTTAGCCCGGGTGCTGTTCATTGAGATTGAGGCCTGTCAAGCACTTCAGAGATCACAGTGAAGCTATGAGGGAAGGGGCAGGAAATACAGCACAACAAGTGAAATTACTAAACATTTTTTTGTCTTTTCTACCAAAATAAAGCAAAATGAAAACTTTTTGTGTTTGTTTTGTAGCTTGTGATTGTTTGTTAATATTACGAACAGTCGGTGTTTGATGTCCATTAATTTGCTATTTGTTTTCCAGTATGTCCTGTCTGTCCTGCAATTTACCTACCCTACCCTTTTTCAAGGGTAAGTATGTTTTTAAGAATTGTGGGTTTTTTTAACATCTTGCTGTTCCATGCTGAAGCTAACTTTACTACTTCTTGTTCTTACTGGCTTTTGCTGCCTAGAGAACATCCTTCATGAAGTCTTAATAAAGCATTCATTAATGTGGCTTGGTTAATTTTTAAACATCATGGAGTTGATGTAATTGAGATACGTAGAGTCCATAATTTCTCATTTTCCTTAAAATCAGCATAGAAAAGTAGCAATTTCAGTATAACCTCTTTTCTTTGGAAGAGAGGAAAATGTGGAAAATGTGCATTTATAGTGCATTCTTTTGCTGTGCTAGAGAAAACCAACCTTAAAACCCTCTTTAGGCATTCACAAATACCATGTTCCCTCTTTTCATGCTTAGCCTTGGTTGTAAGTCTCCTCATGAATTACTATCATATCTTAATTACTGTAATGAGAAATTTAATGTTTTGACAAATGTCCATATACACCATCAATGCTGTTGATGAGACATTTAGTGAAAATCTGGCCTCTTGGAGCCAAGACTTCCCCCATTTTTGTGTTAAAATCTGCAGACACTGGGTATCTTTACTTCCTCTTCTGCTGCTTAGCATGGCTTACATTTTTGCCTGACTTGCAGTCCCAGGACTACAATCAACTCTAGGAATAATTGCCTTGGGAATCTCCACTTTGAATCTAGTCAGCTCATTTAGATATGCAGTAAATGCTTTCTTCAGTTTTGGCACACACACAGAGACTGTCTCTTGCACAAGGATTTTATCATATGGGGAGAGGGTTATGTAATTTGTGTAAAATAGACGTAAATCAGCAGAAAAGTGTAATTCAATGGCAAGCAACTGCCTTATCGCATATGTGTTACCACAGTAATTACCTTTTTCTATTATTTGGAAATGCATTTAATGTCTTAATATTAACATCTTAATATTTTTCCCTAAGTTCTGGCTTTTAAAAGTGACCTTTCCTTGGATTTTTTTTAGAGGCTCAGATGGCACTGAAATGCACTGAAAGTGTCACTTTCATTTAGACCTGTGACAGATGAGCAAAGAGGAAAAGGATGTAATTCTCAGTTCATGCTCTTACTGTTCATTGTCTTGGTTTTGTTCCCTGTATAAACTAAGACTATACTGCATAGTCCTTAGCATCTGAAACTGTCACAAACTTCTGTCTTTAAACCTGAGACAAGAGGAATTTTTTCACAATGAAGCAGATGGGATTTCACCACTACCTGGGATAGAGCATAGTCAAACCTGCAGCAAATGTCAGGGAAACCTGGCTTTTAAGCTCTCACGTTCTCTTCATCCAAAAAAAGGTGAAGTGAGCTGTGATAGTAGCATTGAATATTTACCACTATGCACTAGTACTGCATAGGGTGAATATTTGTTTATTTGTGTATATGTGAGAAAGATTCTAAATAATTGCTTAAATGCATTGCAATGAATGGGTGTCATAAATAAGCCCACTTCTATATCTATTATGGATGTATATGTAATTTAACATTATAATACAGTATCTCTGTCTGAACTGTGCTAGATATTCAAGGATTTTCACCCAAGGAACATGGAACACCTCTCTTAAAACCACTAGCTTAAGGAAGAAGAAAGCTGATAAATTATTTTAAAGTGTAGAAGAAATCGATGTGCATTACTTGCTACTTATTCTAACTTATCTGCACATATTCCCTAGGCCTCACATATTATTTCCTAGTGTCATTCTATTTCAGGTGGCAAACATTGGTGGGTGGACTTCTGCTTCACATCTCCTGGAAGCTGGGCTGGGTGGAGATAAACTTGTGTTCAAGGTACTGAAGGTTTTTTGGTATCTGCCAAATACTTTTTTTCTGTAGCTGCATTACAACATAGTTAAGTTGTTCATGGATGTTATGAACTGGCTAAAATAGAGTTTGATGTATGTGGGGGTGTGGGTGTTCTGCTTCACAGATGTAGAAGAGAACTCACATTTTAGTTAAATGGGTGTTCAATGACATACTTAAACCAACTACTTTTATAAAGTGGATTTAATTTAAACTTGGTAAGACAACCAAAAATCCCATAGTGAAAACAATAAGGATGTCTTATCCAAACATCTGTCCCTAAGAAACAATCTCTTCCCTGGATTGTTTCTTGGTATTGTAAGAGAAACCTTGGTAATGTTAGTTAAGAGCATTGACACAATCTTCTGCAAAACCCTCAGAGCTGTGAAGTCTACAAATGTGATCTGCCTTTTTCTGAGAGCTGGGTCACATAAATGGGGATCATTTGCCTTTTCCTAACTGATGTTAACAATAAAACTCCAAATTAAATGGTGCTTTGTAGACAAAGATCATCTGCTTGAACTGAGTGTGACAGCACAATTCAGAAGAGTCATCATGCTGTACTCTGCTCAGGTGGATCCATTCTGCAGTATGGAGTGCAGCATCTTTTTCATTGTGCAAAATGGTATCATTTAGAAGATGTATGCCCACAGCAATCATTGGATCTTCATCTCAGGAGATACTAAAAACCTTCCCGGGCAATGACCTGAGTAATGTGACTTGACTCTGAAGCTGAGAGAGTTTGGACTAAATGACTGCCAGACACCCCTTCTAATGTAACTTTTTCTCAGTGATTCTGTATTAACAAGTGACAACTGATGAATTTTCTGTTTGACATTCAGACAGTTGGCTTGAAAAACTGAATTTCCTCACTTGGAATGAAATCCTGTGAGTATGTCAGAAAAACCAGGCTGTGTTCTCTTTTCCTGTTCATGCAAGTGATTACATCACTACGGAAATATAAGTGAGGTCATAAATGAAAACAGAATTCAGTTTCCTATTTTATAGCTGCAATAAACTGAGGATATCATAAAAGCTGTCAGTGACTTTGGCAGAGACAGGATTAGAGTCCAAACCTTGCTTTACTGGCAGTTACTGATACATATATATATTATTATCAAATTTATAGTTTTAATGCAGATTTTGTCATCACAAAACAGTCTAGAAGAATACAGCCATCAGTAATGTCCTTTTATAGTTCAGCTTTTCTACACTAATGATTACTTCTGCTTCAAATCATGAAATTGAAGAAGTTGAATCTTTTTTTTCCCAGCTTGGTAAAGATTTTTTTTTCTTTTCAAAACCTGGGAAGACATTAAAGAAAATAGAGGACAAGAACCATTCACTGATGTTGAAGAGGTTGTTTTTATATAAGAAAGGCTTGGATGAAAAATTAGTTCCTCTTTTGACCCTGGAGACTTGAGGCCACTAGATGTCAGCACACTGTAGGGAAAGGGGTAGAAATCCCTCTTCAGAAACCTCTTCGTTGGCTTGATTAATACAGAATACCTGTTCTAGAATAAACTGAATGGAACAAGCAGAATTAATTTACATGCTTTGGCTATAATTCATCCAGCTATTTAAGCGTGAGTTTAAACCTGCCTTTCTTCACAAAGATTAGGCACATGCTTTATTGCTTTGCAGAGGTAGATTTGTAACATCTCCAGTATTAAAAAAAAAAAAAAAAATCAAAGCCAAAACAAAAAGCAGCCTGAAAACCCAGACATGGGAACCCTCTAAACCTCCAAAGCATTACCAAGAAAAAAACTCATCAATAAACAAACAAACAATCATAACATGCAAAGGTGATTTTAATGCTACTACTGGGATATGGACATTTCCATCCCCCCTTACAAAATATCTGTCTCTGAATCTATCTGTTGGTTAGAGGGGAGGGTTTTGCCTATGTGTAGGCTACCTAGGAGCATCATAGCCAGTCTTCAGTCTCAAATGCTTCAAATAATAAACTGCCATCCATTTGTTTATGTCCACAAAGACTCGATTTTTCTGTCACATGGACTGATCTCATATACTTTCTGAGCCAGTTCATGTTATCCCAAAGTGTCTCAGCAGAATTAAGTTATTACATAGAGATCATTGCCCTTTGTCTAAAGTCCAGAATACTAACCTCACTATAAAGACCAAATAAAAACTTATTATTTAGAGTAATCTCACTGAGGTTTTATGGACAACCTGCTTTGCTTCTGCTTCCCCCCAGGACATACTATAAGGAACTTTCTCTCTTTGCTTCTTTACAGCAAATGTTGACTGTCTGCAAAGCTTTTTTTTTATCCAAAACAAGGGCTCTGTGGAGCGCAGAGGAACATGCAGCATCTGCATAATGCTTCCAGTCTGCTGCCCAGCTTCTGCCTAATCCTTATAGGCACATAAGTCTGATGTGTTCTGATTGGCATTTCTTGTAGTGCTGCATTTCATCCATAGCTAAGCAGCAGCTCAGAGCCTTTCTTTACGTGTTGTTTGGGGGAATCTACCCATTGCCTATCACGGGATTTGGATTTAGCCCCACAACAATCACAAACTCATCAGTTCTCTTCCTACTTTGCATGTACATCAGTGTGTTGCCAACAGGAGAAGCTGCTAATTGGTTTACATACAAGACAGATTGTTGATGCTGACACGTTACATCAAACATCCGTGCATTCTTTTTCAGTCCTGAAATTCCCACTTGGCAGCATAAAATTCTACCCTTACATCATGGAAAAAGCATCTGAAGTCCTTTTCCATCGCACTTCACAGAATTGCTTTGGAGACGAAGACATATTTGGGATTCCTACAATTTAGTGGTGGGGAACATGAAAGAGTGGTATTTTTATGTTCTAAATGAAAATTTGGTTTTTATCGTGTGTTCCTTTTATCTTCCCAGAGCCACTTTATTTTCTTCACTCCCCCTTTCTTCAATTTATTGCTGTTCCAATAGTGCAGGGTTATTTTTTTTTGGTGTCTGATGTGAATTCATTGGTAATGAGGTATGACAGTATTAGATCTTGGACTTGATGAGACTCCAGTTGAAGTCAATAACCTCAAAAGGAACAGTGTTTTTATAAAAATTTATGGAAACTAGTCAAGAAAACCCAGGGCAAATATTTATGCCAGTTAAAGGATCTAAACATTATTTTTGTGACCCTGGGTTTTTGTTGTCTTGGAAAATTATATGTATAATAACAGAGGAAATATGGTATTTATGGTTTTTCCCTTGTCTGTGATTACATTAATCTTTGTGAATGTTTTATCTTTGTTCGTACTGTTCTGATTTCATTGTTTAGTGGTCTGTTTTCTTGTGTTCCATGAAATGTGTTGGTGTACCAGTATCTACAATTACATTCAAGTTGTACATGTTAATTGGAAGTGTAATGCAAGCAAAGGAGTTAGGTTTTGTTTTGAGAACAAGCAGTTTGGTTTTGTTTTGAGAACCAGCACTGCCCATTAACATTTTCTCCACTTTAATTCCAAGGTTGGGAAGAGTGAATGGGGCAGCCATGTCTTCAGTCCTGGGAAGCCCTTGATTCAGGCCTTTACCTCACAGTTACTGCTTTCTTCCCTTGCCAAAAATCTTACATTATTCTCTCTGAAATTTACCACTTACCTGATCCCTTTTTTCCCTTAAGAAACAAGATCAAAAATAGGAGAAGCGCAAGTTCTGAAGCCCCTTCTCAGAACTGAAATGTGACCCTACAGCAGTAACCATGTCTAAAAGAAAATTAATCAGATCAATCTGATGACTTCATTCCTCCATTAGTTGTCAAACTGCCTCTAGGAGTTTGGCTTAGTCAAAGGAACATGATTAGGAAATCTCAAGAGATAGGCTTCCACAGAGACATTCTGATCTTTAGGAAGAATCTCTTTGTAAATCTGGCTGAGAAATGAATGTGTGGGTGGCCCAGTGTATTTGTAGATAGTAAAAATGTGTGCTGTCTGTGCAAGTGAGCCATTTTATGCCTTCATTTGTCAAGTTTTGTTCCTTTCACAGAACATCAAGGAAATTAGTTTAAATGTCTTTCCTTTAATACCAATGGAAATAATTTCTAAGGGAGGAGAAAAACCAAAAAACAACATTATTTTGGAGGGAGAGGAGCCAGGGAAAGAGTAAAACAAAGAAAATATATTGGCAGTTAGTTCCTCTCTTGGATTAGACAAAATGAATAATTTCTAATTTGGACTCCTTAGTAAATGGGAAGAATACTGAGCAATCTGATACTGACTTTACCATGCAAATGTTTGAAATTAATGTACATATATATGTATTATTACATTCTTTGCAAGCAACTATTGTTTTCTATTTGTAAACAGAATGTGGTGAAATAATGGGATTTTAATTGCTTTCACAGGTCTGAAATCCTGTCATGGCTTCCTGCATCAGTACTTTTTGTGGGCATTATTTATGCTGGCTCCAGGGCACTGTCTAGATTGGTAAGAAACAAACCAGTAGAAGTCAGCTCTTTATTACCTCTACTTCATAAACAAAGACCATTTCCTTCATACATGGTGTTTAATGCTGTTCCTGGGTTGAGGGAGAAGGAGGGAGGAGGACTAAATAACAGATCCATTGTTAGTGGAGCTAATGCAGTGGTCCAGTTCTACTAAGCATCAAAAAGCATCTCTGTGACAGTCTGAAGCACTCAGCATCTCTACAGAGTACTTAGTGTTTTACTGAACAGATCCTCAGTGGTCTGAATTGTACAGGTAGGGAGGAAGCTGAAGAAATCAGTAGCTGTAACTTTGCATAAGCAGGAATGAGATTGTGGGATCTGTGGGAAATCCTTCCAGGAAACTGATGAAGACTATTTCAATGAGAAGGTTTTGATTCTTTGCAGGATTTGAAAAAATAAATAGAAAGTTGGAAAGAGATTATGGGAAGGGTTAGATTACTCCATTTTAGGATTCATTTGCATCACAGTAATTCACCAAATGTTTACAGAATGTCAAATCTCCTTTCATGAAACTTGAATGCTTTATGCCTAAATTATATAGTCTTCTCTAAAAAAAGTAAAATAAATTGGTGGCATTTATTTTTTTAAAATAACAATATTTTGCTGCTGTTGTGCAGTCTGCAAGTTCAGATCCTGCACTAGTTCCCTTCTGCATTCTGTCGATGCATCTTAATGTAACTCCAGAGCCAACTTGCCCCTCTCAACTCCTCAGCCCTAATCAGGATCAAAAGGTTTACCAGATTCTGAGTGCAGTGATCCCTTGAAAATGCCAGTAGAGAGATAGAGCAGAAAAGAACAGGAGGTCTTTTTCCTTGTAAGCAAGGTTGGGGGTCTTATCTTGGACACAAATAATCTTGGGAAGGCATGTGCTCAGAAGCCCCATGCTCCCAGATCAGTTCTCTCTCAGTGTGATTGCATTTAGTTCCTCTTGCTTCCTTGTCGAACGAAGTTCCACTTGCCTTCTTTAGTGTAAGGTAAGCAAAGTCCCATAAGGAAAGCCCTGTCTGGAAGCACCAATAAAGCCTTGGCAGCAGCCTCTTTTCTCCTTGCTCACCTGGGTGGTGAAGTTAAGAATCACATCCTCTCTGTTATTACTTCTTAACTTCCTGGTCATCCTGCAAGTTACTGTATTTGCCTCCTGCTCCTGCTCTGGTCATTCATGAGTGAACTGCACTGGAGTGGCAGAAGGGCTGTGAAGGCTTTTGATTTGTATCCCAAATCTTTCTTAAGGAGCATCTCACATTTCTTAATGGCTTTTGTTGTATGTGAATGGGGATTTAGAGATCTAATTCTGTGGCCATTTTACAAGGCAAGACAAAATGAAAAGCAGTCTTAGGCCATAATTATTATTGCAGTGGGGCTAAATTCAATCCTATGTAGAAGCTTTACTTACAATAACTTTGTCTATAACAATTTTATGACACAATGAAAATGAAAGTGGACTCTCCCAAACTCATAGCTGAATTGGCTCATCTCAACAGCATATTTTAATGAAGTAGGTTTATTTCTAAAGCAGAAATTATGTGTACTTTTATTATCAAATCCAAGGGGAACCACTTTCAAACACTCCTGTATACTGGCAAAGCTACAACTTTAATCTCTATTTGTGCCTCTTCCTAGAGATGCTGGCAATCTCCCCAGACCAAGGATTCAGGGCTAGGACTGGAGAAGGACTGCTTAGCTCTGGACTGTGATGATTTAAAAAAGTATGCAGAGCCATGAGAGCAGATTTGTTCAGAGTGTATTCACCCTGCCTGCCCAACCAGTAAACCTTTCTTTTCATAAGCATTAAGCCCACTCACAAGTTTAAGAAATACTTGCATCAAAGGCAATAGACATATGGAGAAGGTTAAGTGGGCTAGGCAAACTGGAGCCATTGTTGGCTCCAAAACACATTTGGAAGAGCCAAAAGCAGAAGGGAGGAAAGAAAAACCCAACAAATTGGCTTTCACAAAGGGAAGAATGTAAATTCTGCTGTCAACTTTCCTTGTTTATGGGTATTTCTTGTATTTCCTATTACTGTGTCAAGCTCAGAGTACTTTTATGTTTAATACTTCTGGGTTTATGTTCTCAGTTATCCAGCAACAGGGTTGAGAATTGGTTTTCAGTACCGGTGAAGCTGGTTCCAACAACTTCATGCCAGTTGTGTTTGTGTGATTTCCATTCTTATTTTGGTGCAACTGTTGTGACTATGGACCCACCCCAGTTGTCATTATGACTTAAATTGTTTAATCAGCAATGCTTATCTGGCTTCTTTTCTCTAACATGTAAAGAAAAGAAAATTACAGAAAATATGCAAAGTCATATTTGAGAGATATTTGCTGCTTATATCACCTGGTACTTAAAAGTTTGGACATTACTGAGAAATTAATCCATTCTCTGCTACTGTGATTTAAATACCATACACGAGTGGGGAAATACTGCTTCCTAAATTGGCTTAGTCTTTAGATTATCTTAATCAGAGTAGAGAATTGCTTCTGTTTCAGCTGTCTGAGAGACTATGGATCTGATTTGGAGGAAGTATTACGAACCACTAATTCTGGCTGGGTTTGCCTGGGGCAATGGGTGTTTGATTCATTATTGTTATCGTTGGGGTTTGTTTCTTAATGATTTCATGTTGGGATGGTGTCCAGATACCTCAGTGAGTATAATTTCAACATCATTGTGTATGAACTATTGCATTTCTATCCTAATTTTGGGCAGCTCTTCCTAGCAGTAACTGAAAGCAATCACCTAAAATTGTCTTGCCCACAAATCTGTTGCTAGGAGTCACACTGTATTCTTAGTACCAGCAGACAGAGATGGGACAACAAATGAGAACTGTTTGCTGTGGAAGCTGAAGATCCTGGATCAGAGAGGGAGGACTAGAGTCTGAAACCTGGAGCAAATCTCACTGGGGTAGCTGGGTACAAACAAACTGACTGAGCACTCAGCAGTGGGAGACACAGCAAGCAGGTCTGCAGGGGGGTCTGCATTTAAAGATGCCTGTGCCCATGTGCTAGTGATTGGAATGGGCTAAGTCTCTTTCAGGTGATGTGGCATGGGTTTACAGCTTCAAAAACAAAACCCCAAACCACAGACATGTGGGACAGCTGTTTCTAGGAGGAGTGCCCCTTCCTATGTGTGTGACTGCTCTGGGTTGATTTGAGCATTTTTGTTCTCTCCTCATGGCAGCCAATCCCAGTGTTCCTCACTGTGCACAACGCAGCAGAAGTCATAACCTGTGGGTTCCAGAAGTTTGTGCAGAAAGAGGTAATTGATCTATTAGTCTGTGATAGAACTGCCCCAGAACAAGATACCTAATTTCTCTTAATACAGGCATCAGTGCCATGTACTTTTCTGGACTCACTGTAATAGCATTTCATTACTGAGACCCTGAGAGAGCATTTTGTGTTGACAAGTATCTATGCTGATGTTTCCTTTCCCCTTATTTGATGAAATACTGCAAATACATATCACCAGTCTGATCTGCATTTTTAAGACTGGCTGTCCCTGCTTATCTTTTGCTTTTGAAAATTAATATTCCCTCTCTCTCATGCCCCACATAAAAATCTCATTGTTTGAGCTGAGAAGAATGAGGACTATGGCCTTAGATCTAATCAGTATAATAGATCTTGTGTATTGTATAATTACAGATAGGTCACATCTCCACATAAAATGCAGGAGGAATGGGCATTTTTGAATTTGTTTTGAATGCTTGAGATTTTACCCCTATGAAAGTCAGGAGAATAACTCTTGTACCCTTTTGTAAGAACCGAGTTGCTTTTTTTTCTTACAAACTCCATTCGGGAGCCTTCTTTTTAGGCTTTTTTTGAAATGTTTTTCTAACTGACTACAGAGTTGTTGTGTGAGCTAACACTGGGAAATCATTCATCACAAAGTTGTTTCTACAGTGGCCTCTGGCTTGCTGTGAAAGGCATCTTCCATTCATTATAACTGTTTTCTGTATAGAAGACAGATAAATGGGTGTTTACTTCATCTAACAAACAGAAGAGATCACTAAGGTTATGCCTAAGGGACATAGCAGTGTGTACCATGGCATGTCCCTGTGTCATTGTCCTCTGATTAGTGTCCCTGTCAAAGTGTTTCATATTTTCCTTCTATGTCACAAGCTTATGACTCCTCTCTTTAAAAACAAAAGCACAGACAAGAATAATGCAAACACAGGCCTAACAGAAAGCTCCTCAGGAATAATTTCATACCAAAATTATTCATGAGTTTAAATCAAGATTGGAATTTAAATCAAGATTGGTACTATGAGATAGTACCTAATTAGGAAAACTCAATATTTGAGTGCATATATTACACAGTTTTGGTACAATTCAAGTCAAGTTTGAGGAGCGGGTATAAAGTTCTGTCTGGTTTTAAGTTTACTTGCTGGTAAGTAATCTGAAAATATAAATCAAGGTGAAGTAGGCCGATCCATAATCTTGATTCTTCTTTATCAAATTAAATTTGCTAAGCAGTACTCAAATTTTGAATGCTGCTCATTGCAGTTTTAATGTGTATGGTGCAGTAAGATCAGCTGTCATCACTTTCCAGTTTTTGGAAGGAGAAAACACTGTTTTACCATTTTTATCATTAAATTTTAATGTTTTAATCATACTTCTTTTTTACAGCAGACCTCTCATCTGAAAGTCTGTAGGTAAGCTTTTAAAACTACTCAGATTCAGATTCAGACTTGTTTTGGCTCCAGCTTCTGTATTTACTTCAGATAATGGCACACCAAAACAATGAAGAATGTAAGGCACATTCCTGTGGGCAGTGAGCCTAAGTTGCAATATAAGAGTAATTAAATATTTTAATTATTTTTAGCAATTGCTTGAATAGTTTGATATGTTTTTTCTCCTTACAAAAATGAAATGAATGATAAAACAAACCATAACAATGCTTTTGGAAAGGCTTGGAAGGTTTGAACTTCCAGTGGGTAATCGTAAACAGTAAGAGAAAGATAATTAGTGTGTTAGAAAGTAGCTAAAAATTCTCTGCCTTAGAAATGAAAGGTAAATGAGATCCATTTCTGCTAGAATCATTCATAGCGAGGTGGGGGTCAGTCTCTTCTGCCATGTCTCAAATGAAGGGACAAGAAGAAGTGGCCTTTAATTGCACCAGGGGAGGTTCAGATTAGATATTAGAAAAAAAAAATTGCTACAAGAGTGGTTTGGTATTGGAATAAGTTGCCCAGGGAGATGATGGAGTCACCATGTCTGGAAGTGTTCAAGATGTGGCACTTGGGGATATGGTTTAGGGTGATTATGGTGGCGCTGGGTTGACAGTGGGACAGATGATCTTGAAGGTCTCTTCTAACCTTGATGATTCTGTGATTCTGTGATATTAAACTGCACAACTACCAACCCTTGGTGGCCCTGGATGATTAGGCTTCAAAAAGGAGATGGAAAGGGACAAACAGAAATCAGCCAGTCATGTGTTAAAATTTCAGTTCTATGCCCCTACATCCCCTTGAAGAATTGGATATTTGCTGTCTTCCACATCCTGTAATCTTTTAGCTGTACTTTAGAATGGATAATGTTGGGTTATTATTTAGTGTACTTAGAGGCATTATCTTCCTGATTTCTTCCTGTTGTTTCCATTATCTGACTATGTGGCCTTGTCTTCACCACTGGATTATTGTCAAGGATACCATTTTAAAAATAATCTTTATTCTGTCTTTTCCCATGCCCTTAGAGAGTAGGAAAATAAGTTGCAAAACCAAGTGTATGTCAATATTAATAGTGACAGTCCACAGAAATTCCACAGTGTATTCCCTGTAGCTTAAAGAAATACTTACTCAGCCATAGGTTAAGAATTTAATTAGCTTAAGTTGGTGGACTAGGAGAGGACTTGTGCTGTCCTTAAGACATTCCCAATGCATACCAGTCAATTCCACCTTGCTCCGTGCTCTGGAGTAACAATGTCATTCTGCTGTAACAGGCAATAGTCTCAATGAAAGAACTTTTTGGTAGCCATTCAGCCAGAAATTGGCTGGTTTTGACTTTTTGAAAAAGCCTAGGGAAGTCAGATGGCTAGTGAAGAAAAATATTCTTTACAAAAAAAAAATTGCTTATTATCATTTCTGAGGTGTTTTGTGCTGCTTCTCTTCCCATAAAACTTTGTGTACAAGTTATGAAGAATTGCATTATGTAAAATTTTTGGTGGCAGAAATTATTTTTTAAACATGGAATAAGAAAATTAAACAAGTGAAGTGTCAGTGTAAAATGGAGTGGAATTGCCTGTACTTTGCTGGGAGTAGAAATGCAAGTTGAAAGCTTTTGGTCTTGCTTTTTTTATTTTTTTATTTTTTTCTTCTTTCTCTTCTCCACAGTGTGCTGTTCCTCCTGGCAGCAGCAGTGTGCCTTCCTTTGTGTGACACACAGGTGAGATCTGCTTTGTAAAGCAGCTTGAGCTAGGCCTTGATGCTTGACATCTTGTTAGCATATGAGGGATGCAGCTTTTACTGGTAAGCTAGAGTAGGATTCCTGCAAGGGAATTGTAAATGTTTCCTGTTGCTGTGTTGGAGTCTTGCTGGGTTTACAGTGTTTGCATCATGGTAAAACCTCTGAGCAGTGTGGACATACAGCTCAGGTGGTGGCTGGGGAAACCACAGTTTTACTTCTTAATAGTGCTTACAGCAAATCACTTAGGTTTGAGCTAGTTGTCTTTAGAGAGTGCTCCATTCAGGAAAGATCTAATCATTGGAGATTCTCTTTTGGAGACTTAGGAAAGCTGCTTCCTTGCTTAAGATACCTCAGTTAATATCTGAAGTCAGATGAGTCTGGAAACTGGTGTACACAACTGAAATAGAATTATCCCTGCTGAGATGAGCTGAGAGCCTGCATAATTGGCATATGCCAGGTTTCTGAGTGTGACAGGAAGAATTTCAGTCTATCTAGTCTTCTTTAGTCATCTTCCCTTTCTTTGTAGCACAGCTCCCACTTGCTGTACTTGCTTTGCAAAGCTAACTGCAGGGAAATTGCAATATGTATGTTTACATGTTCGTGCTTTTATTTATGTAGATGTTCTTTATTGCAGTTTGATCCAAACGGATATTTATGGGCTCTAATTCACTTGATCTGTCTTGGTAAGTAATTTTCTTCTAGAAAAAGAATTAGGAAGAATAAATGTGTTGGAGAAACCAGCTTTATTATGTACTTACTGATATTTCAGACTCTATATGTAAGAAACACTTGGAAAGAATGGAGATCAGTAAATATAAGAAAGTGCATTCTTTTTATAGCTTTTATGTTGAAAACAACAACAGAACACACTGCATATTGCAGTCTGTTAACAGTGGATGAGAAAATGCACATACAATTTTAATCAGCACTAAGCTTTTCAGGTTGTTTTTTGATGGTTGCCTACTGAGAGAGACTTCTTTTTGAGGGGAGAAGAAACATGAAAAAAACCAAGCAATAATTTGTACTTGGAGCTTTGTTGCACACACAGATTTTATTTTAAAACTGTCAAAAATATACTAAAATATCAAGGACTGTGGTCCCAGAGGAAGGATGTTGAAATATTGGAATTTTTTAGGCAATCATATGCATTTTAAAAAAAATTTAACAATAAGTTGCATAACCTATCAGGTTTTCTTTTGTCTTTTTTTTCAGACCAATGTTTATTTGAATAAATCGTAGCTGTTCCCTGAAAAGCTAGAAACAGTCAGACTAGAAAATCTGAAGAAAACAAGAGCAGTAATATTTAATAGGAGATTTTTGGTTTTTGGAGTATTTTGGTGGATAATAAGGGACTTGTATTTGATTCTTATCTGTCCTATATACTGAGTGAGTGACTCATTCATATGTTAAGTCTTGTCTGCAGATTAGGGATGACTCCTTCTTTATTTCTTCTATTCATACTGTAAAATTTTCAGGGCAGAGGTAATATGTTTATATGTATACCTGTCTAGGAAGGTCTAGAGATCCCCATCTGAAATGCTGTTAAAATACAAATAAGAAATAGTTTTGGTGGTTTTTTGAGAAATATCATATGGTAAATATTTGCTCATTTATATAAAAGTAAAAGCTATGGATTTTCCACTTCAAATACTTTTTTGCTGTGATGAGTGATGTTCTTGCTTTCTCAAAGCCAAGTAGTCTCATTTGTAAAGCAATGCTTGGTCATGGAGGTGGAAAATTGCTTAGAGAATCTTCAGAATGCTTCATTTGTGTGTTTGAAATGTGTAGGAAGTGCCAACAGAATGTTTATGCTCAAAATATAGCTGCCTTCCATTTCTCTTGGTTTTGAGAGTTGTTGATATCGCTGTTGGGAGTTATTTGTGTAATTAGATTTCCTATCTGCTGGAATGAAGGTGCTACGAGAGAGGGCAAAGCGATGAACTAACTTACTGCATAGTAAATCAAGAGAGAGCATTACAGAAAGGATGAATGTTCTACCCTTTAACTTGTGTAATGGAGGCAGAATTGAGGATATCTATTTCATAGTCTTCTACTGGATTGACTTTTCATATTCTGGTTTTCTCTGTGAATCAAAAAAATTACCCCAAAGCCTGGAAGAAAGAATATGAAAAAAGAGAGCCTGAAGCTGTGTCATTTCTTCCATAAGTGCTCAAATCTTTACCCAGGACAGAAATGGAAGCTAACAAGAGGTAGATGGGTGGGTCAAGAATGTGAAGAACCTGGAGACAGTAGAGCTGAGAGAACTTTTAATAGGAAAGATGGCTCAGACCCAACAGCTCTATGTAGATGATCATACATATCTTAGAACTTACTTCCAAAGTGGTGTGGGCTGAAGAACCCATTCTGTGACACTTTTCTGTATGCATTTACACACAAAGCCATGCACAAACACACAATCTCTCCTTTGTTGTTGCTGTGAGCTAGAAGATGTCCTCAGAAGGACTAGCAGAACCATGGAGCATGATTGTGCTCAGAGCTGATAACATTTTGAAAACCATTAGTTTGAAGCAATAGGTTCATTTTACTCATGGTTTAGGAATCCTTTGTGCTGTGTTGCTAAACTGTAATTCAGAGGGGTTCCATGTCTGCCAGTACCACGGCCCAACAAGCTGTTGTTTGTCAGAATGATTGCAGGATATGGCAATTACACATGTCATTTCAATTACAGGGGCTTACAAAGTATTTCACAAGTTGTGGAAACCTGGATCTTTAAGGTAATGTGTTTTCCTAGTGTTTCATAAAGAGAGATGACTGTGATGTAGGGAGCTCTGCATGATCAGCACGAGCTGGGCTGCTCCTGGTTAATGATTAATGATTTCTCTTGCAAGATGAGCCTTATTTATTGTTGGTAGCAACAGCATGTGGTTATTGATAGTTATACTGCTAACTGGAACATTGAATTAGTTTTAAACACTGTATTATCCAAGGGTGATGACTCAGCCCTGGAAAAAGAACCCCTAATTACTGGCACAGGTGTTAAGAGGAAATATTAGTCTTTCATGTGGAAAGCTACATGGTTTGAATCTGTCAGTATCTGCCTTTGTGACACAGTCTCAAAAGTGTTCAGCAGCTGGTGGCTTACCACAGGATGGGAATGGCTGAGTACCTTAAACACCTTGGAACCTTGTACTAATCCCATGTGCATGTTAGAACTGCAACCACACAATAGTAGTCTTGGAATCAGGTGGCATTCCATGTTCACAGTGTCTGTAATCTGCAGTTTTCTTTATGGATAGAGATGTTGACACTGCATATGATGTATATATACATGCATGGATAAATTTATTTATTTCAAAACCATTTTCCATCTCTGGTTAAAGGATCTAAATTTTGATCAGTCTCACTTTATCTTCACTTTAAATGAAACTCCTACTGACAGTAGCAACAGAATAATGTGTGGATCCTGTGTAAATGAATATGTTGGTTAATTGATACATAATTTATTTGTGTTCATAAAATTATTACTATATTATCTTTATAATGTATATAATTATAATATAATGTTTTACCTAATATTAACCTTATCATGTATTATATAAATGAATATAATGTAACATTACAGCATTACTGAATATTACTGTTTAATGTACTAACCTTTTATACCAAATGAAGTGCATTGCTAAAAAAAAACCACCTTTTTTTCTTTGCCTCCTCTCCCAGTGACCTGGACCAACAGTACATCAACTATGTATTCAGGTAAAATGAATAAGTCTTTGATACACCAGAGCTGGTTTTATGTGGTATATGTTTTCATTTTCAACCTTGGCTTGTTGAAGAAACTCATGGCTACCACTACTTAAATGCATTTATTTAGCAGGGCATTCACTGAAAGAACAGTGCTAAGCTGAATGGCTTAGCAGCTGAATTTTTTGGCTCCAGTTGTAGATGGACATGCCAATATACACCTGAGGAGGTAACGAAGTGTTAATTATGAATTTTTAAATCACCACGTGCACAAGTGATCTATCACTTCCAGAAATAATATTTACAGAGTAACTCCCTGGTAATACCCCACTTCAGAAAATAAAACTTGTACAAAATTGCCAGAAGAGGAGGTAGTGATTACAAAAGTACTGTGTGCAAAGAACACGAGCAGTAACTGATTGTTCAGAGTGCCATTAGTGGGATTGAGTAATTCTGACTTTCAGTTGTTTTTCTGGTTTGGAGATAGAAGAGTGGCTTGTTATTCTGTAGCTGGTGAAATAGTCTGAGTCACTGACCAGATTCCCCTGCTTTTTTAAATCCAGTCCTTTCTTCAAAGAGCCACAAACCAGGACATTCAGTGTACATGGCTTCTGTTAGGTTTTTGTGAGGCTTTATTTCAAGCAAGGCGTCTAGAGACTTGATTCAATTTTCTTCCATCTGAAATCACATCTAATATATATTGGCCTCTTTTCTTGGGTTCACACCTAAGGTCACCTTTGGGAACACAAAGTATGAATAATAAATTCAAAGAAACTCCTTCTGTGGTCAGAAGGAGTGAAAGAGGGAGCAGAAGTTGGGAATAAGCATAACAAAAGTGAAGTTGTGCCAGTCTATTTGATTAGATGGATATGTGCTCTTGTCTGGCCACATGAGAGATCCTTGATAAAAGTACATCAGGGACACCAATGTATGACAGTTGCTTTCCTTCAATTCCCATTTGTCTTGTGAGCATAGTCAATATGATAACACTGTGTCTCTTTCTGTCTTAGTTCAATCAAATCTCCAATTTCTGTAAAGAAGTCATGCAGGCCTCTGCTTTTGCCTTTATGATTCACCAGGGCCTCATTAATGGACAATATCTGGATATCAGTTTGCTTGAAGTAGGCTCTTGTTTAAGTCAGTTGTTGTTTTCCATCTACTATGAAATGCAAAGAAAATCAATTTTGCACAAAGAGGGTAGGTGTGTTTATTGAAACTTTGGAAGAATTAGTCATGGAATTTGCAAATATGCTGCCACATGCAGAAATAACCTATGAAGTCTGGAATGAGATATAGCTACCTCTCTGTGTTGAAGGGAAATCATGAACCAAGCAGTAAAATCAATTGATTTTCATTTGGCAGCTGCCTGAATGTCTCTCAGTTGTCATTTTAGTTGAAAATTGTATCTAGGCCTGAACCTTTAAATTTAGATTTTGGCCAAAAGTCTTACTTTTTCAGCTTTGATTGAAAAGTAAGGGCTGGGCTGTTTCTGTTAGTTCATGATTTTGGCCCTTTGAATTCTGTGAACTTGTGTCCAGCAGAGAGCAGGAGTCCCACATTGCATGAAAAGTATGATAATTTATTTGGAAGCTTTTGAAAGGGAGAAACTTCTCATTAAGGAACTGTGAGGTGCAGCAGTATATGTCTCTAAAACTGATCTTTTTACAGAAAAGAAACTAACAAACAATCCAACAATGGATTTATGCCAATTGGAAGATGGCTATTTTCTGCATCTGTTTAAGAGCAAAGATTTGTTATCAAAGCTTCCAAAGTTTTTCCCCAAGAAGAGGCTTAAAGGTCAGCGTAGCTAACAAGATGATGGTGCAAAGCAACTTGCTGGAAAGCAGGTGGCTTAAGGGAGGTGGCAAACTGGATGCTTATTTGTTTGGTTTGGGTCTGTGTATATCTGTATGTCTGTGTGTCTGTATGGGTATACATTTCTGTGTGTTAGAGAAGTTCACAATCCATAGCATTTGGATCTCATCTTGCCTAGGGAAAACAAGCAGTACCATGGACAATGGGATAAGTGACATCTGAATTTTTTTAGAGTTTTGTTTTGTCAAAATAGCTAATGATGTTTGAAAGGGTGTAAAGTTTGGCAGAAATTCTCTCCTGGTCTGCAACCACCATGACATGTCTCCTCCAGTGTCTAATGGGGCTGGAATCCTGCTGCAGGAGGCACGGGCAGAGTTTGCCTCTGTGTGAGACCCCTGCACATGTAGTTATCTCAGAGACCACTGCCACTTCCCAAATCTGGATGAAGCTGTTCAGCATGTTTGAGAGCTGTGTGGAGATATGTACACCCAGCTTCCAAAATACTTTTAAATATCACTGACTAAAGGAATGTTCTCTACATGAGCTCCTCACAGGCAGCTCTGGGTCAGAGTTACTGTAGACATGGATTATCTCTGTCAGAGGGTGTCCAGCAGTAACTTTTGTGATTTAGAAGGTGTTAAGGCATATGCTGCTTCTTCTTCTCCGGCCTTCTCAAGGACTGTTCTGGCCATGACTGGATCACAGTTCCACCTCCAGGACAGGATAGTTTAATGTGTACTGGAGGTCTTGTCTATACAAGCATGTTTGTATGATTCTATGATTTATTAAAGAACTTGCTAGTGTGGTATCAGTGCAACTTTCTCCTCCTAAAACTATTATCAATTGGTTTTTAAAGCTCTTTATTTCTAACCTAGATCAGACATGTAGCTGTGTGGGCACAGCCAGATAGTGTTTAGAATCATCCAATCTTTTAGGTTGGAGAAGACCCTTAAGGTCACTGAGTGCATTAACCAAGCACTACCAAGACCACCACCGAAGCTTGTCCCTAAATGTCTTTAAAATACCTCTAAGGATGGTGACTCAGACACTGCCCTGGACAACCTATTCCAATCCTTGATTCCAAAGCCTTTTAGTGAAGAAATTTTTCCTAATACATAGGAAAAATACATAGGATTATGTTCAAAGTGTTCATTATGTTAAAAATGTTCATGTTATTATGTTCAAAGTATTTCTCAGTTCAGTGTGAAAGCACAGTTGTACTCTACTGAGTGTAGAGACTGCCTGCATGAAACAGATTAAAAGATCTGCCACAAATTACTGGATGTTAGAATATACCAATATGTTAGAGCAAAAATAAATATATATATATATTTATATATATATAAAAGAGAAGGCTCTGTTGGACGCTTCCAGAAGTGCAGCTGAAATGAGCAGTCTCCTAACATATGCTGTCCTTACACACCATGCACTATTTCTTGTTCTGAAATCTGGAACAGTTTGAAAGAAAAGAACACCCTAAGTAAATGTATATGAATGGGAACTTTCCAGAATCAAACAGATCTGAAGAAATATTTGCTGATGTTGAAATCTGGTGTTCTTCTCACTTCATCACTTCCAACATGATTATTCAATGGTTTTGAAGAGGGAGCCAGGCCAGGAACAAGTGTAGGAGGGAAAGCAGAGCTGTGCTATGCAGAGAAGGGAGGGGTAATGTTGCTTCTCAGTGCCCAGCCCCATCCAGTTCATCTCTCTCCCTTGTGTTTAAGCATCTGGGGCAGGGAGGAAGAGAAGAGGGTCAATGTACTTCCAAGATCCTGTCTCTAATCCTCCAATCCTCTTGATCCCACCCCCTTTCTTCAACTGCAGTATTGTATTTCTCTGTACTCTGACTTCTGCTTTAGTGTTCTACTTTACCGTGGTTTTTTTTCTCATAATCTTATATTTTCTTTTATTCCTTTCTGTTCCCCCACTTTTTATCAAAGGGGAAGCCAGATTTCTCCCCCTTAGCTAGTGAGGGGTAGCATGAGAGGAGGAGCAGTAATGCCTGCCTGGCATGTTGAGGGAGACATAAATGTCTTAGAAGCAAGTTGTAGCTCCTCTCGGGGCTTTCTCCTATGCTGAGGCAGGTAGAGGTACTTTACTTCTTGTGAAGAACCTGCAAGAAAGTTTCAATGCATCCCAATACCATCTCTGTCTGAAATTTGTTCATAAAGGCATGCCTAGATGGCCTGGCAGCCATTGGTGAGGAGAAAACAGATACAGGAAAATTTCAAATGGTGAATAAATGGCAAAGTTTTGAGGTAAAGGCTCTACTCTATGCAGCAAAACTACATCTGGCTTCTGGAAGAGCTGCTAATCTGTCACTTTTGTGAATTAAAAATGCTGCAGTAGATTTTCTGCAATATGGGAGAGCAGCTTTGCAGGCATAAATTGCTTTTCTTGCTGACAAAACCTCTTTTTTTCAGAAAGGAAACCACGAGTGACCCAGCCCTCAGTATTTAGTACAGGGGGGGAAAAAGAGAGGAGCAGAAAAATCCAGCACATGGAATTTGTTTTTGCTGCAGCCTCATATCCATCCAGGCTGTCCTGCTAGAAACCTCTGAATCCCTAATCTGGTTTTACAGCATCATCGTGTCTTTTTTACAGATGCTTCATTCAGAGCAGGGCTACAGAGCAGCTGTAATGCCATCTAATCCATTTGCCTTAACCTGCCCTGCACTTCACAATGAAGGTTTTGTTTTCTCCTGTTGTTTTGTTTGGACCAAAACCTGGGATGTCTGTTAGGGTTATCAATTCCTCTTGGTTGCAGAAGGAAGTTTCTCTCTGACTATTTCCCAGTCTCAGTGGGTTTTTGTTTAAAATGTAATAATTCAAAAAGTAAGTGGAGAAGCATGGTTTAGCCCTACTTCTCACCACTGTTGATACAGTTCCACTTTTCCTGTCAGTCTCCTATTTTCTCTGTTATTCAGTCAAAAGCAGTAGACCTTTGCTTCCTTTTCTCTCTTTACCAGGAAACCAAGGAACTGAGCCTGTTTATTGTGAATTTCTCTTGGCATCCCTATACAGGGAGAGCATCCATGTGTGGGGAGGAGGGGTAGGGCAAATTACCTATTGCAAGTGATCTGCTTTGCCTTGTTTAATGCCTTTGTGGCAATAACATCTTTTAAAACCATGTATTAATATTGAGAATGTGAACATACTGTACCATCTGATGCCTTTCAAAGACTTATAAAGTGTGAAGCCTAAAATACCTGCCTGTCTGTCCCTCATAAACCCTTTCCTCCTTCAGCCTATTGTGTTCCACAGCTGATTTCAGTGACAAGCTTCCTTGGCCATGGGATTTCCATGCTCTTTGCAGTTCCTTTTGCTGCAGGTGATTCTGTGACTGATGCTGGGGTCCACCAAAGCTTGCCAAGGGCAGGTCACCAAGCATGGAAGCTTGGTCCAGTAGAGAGTTGGGACCAGCTGTGAGTGAACAGGTTTGGAAATGGTAACTGTGTTAACACTGGAAAAGGGAGTTGGCCTGGAATGCTTGAGCATTCATAACATCAATTAATGTCTTTTTACCTCTGTAAGTGCAGTGCTTGCTGCTTACCAAGAAGCAAACTCTTGAGATACTATTTCCTTCTTCTCCCACTTGTCCTTACAGCTTGTCATGGATGTATGTTGTTGGTAACTGGAAGAAGCTGTAGCTCTACAGACATGCATGCTTATCTCATCTCACAGCACCCCAGAATGTTTTTCTAGTCCTCTAACCTTAGAAGTGATTTTGAATGAAAAATGTGCAAAAAAAGAAGAGAAATTTACAAGAAGAATCTGTAACACTAAAAAAGGCTCTGTACAACCTATACTAAAAATGCAAAAAGGTGAGGTCTTTGTAAGACCTCAGAAAACCTAAGTGATAATAATTCAGATAAAGAAGTGGTCACGGCTGGTTTTCTTGTTCACTTGTATCTGGAAAGTGTGAATAATTTGGGCTGGTACTTGGTTTTATTTTCATGTGTTTTTAAACTTGTACATGCAATAATAAGCATAATATGGAGCAACAACCATACATTGCAACTTTGGTGGTTTAAAAATGGGACAGCAGGAAAAACTTCTTTGCTGGGAGGGTAGAGTGCCCCTGGGAAAGTTACCCAGAGAGGTGGGGAATCTCTGTGCTAGTAGGTTTCTGAGACATGCCTTTTTTAGACAGAACCAGAGGGCATCATCAAATATTTGTGATAGTCCTACTTCAGGTCAGAAATTTTATTAGGTGACCCCAGACATTCCTTTCCAATCAACTTGTGTTTTCTTTTAATTGGTATTTATGTCTCAGTTATTCTACTTAACTGGAATAAGTTTCACCATGGAAAAACAAACACAAAAAACACAAAGCTGTCAATTTATAGTCTTCAGCCCATGTCATAAAATTCTGTAGTATCCAAATATTTTTTTTTTTTTAGTGTGGTGCTGTTGGCCTCTGCATCCCATCCAGCAGGTAAAGTCAACTGAGTTCTTCCTTTCTTAGGTTTCCATGTTGCTTTTGCTTTCTGTGCATGTTTTTAGCAACTGAACCCTTAGGATTTTAGCCCTGAATATGACCAATAATATGTTATCATGTAGGAAGAGGAGAGAAGGGTATATAACTGGTGTAAGTTACATGATATTTCCCAATACCATTCTTAGCTGTCCCATGCAAACAAGCAGTATGGGACTGACAACAAAGAAGAGTTTTTGAGGTAGTGCATGGTAAAAAACAAGGATTCCCTAAGCCACCCTGTCCTCTTCAGAGCAGTGTCCCAGCAGTCCCTATGAAACTGAGTTTCCTTCTCTGCATTGTCCCCAGTGCTATGCAGAGTTTTTATTTTGTTGCTATCCTAACAAGGACCCCATTGCTTGGGCCCATAGCAGGATTTGAAGTAGCAGCCCATCAGGTGGTAAAAAGTGAGAAATTTTATGGTGGCTAATATTCCTACCTTCTGGTGTGTTCATAATTAGGAGGGTAAAGGTGATCATCTGTTGCTTACATTTGTTCAGCCAGAAACACAAAGAAGAAAGCATTTAAAGAAACATAAATTCTCCCTTTTTCCTGGTGGTGCAGATTGTGTATATAGGAAACCCCCACCAGGATAGACATACATGTTAAGTGAAACAGTTCTGCATTTCAAAAAGTGAAAGATGGAGCTTCATGTAACTCTGTAGAGCCTGAAGGCCAGAGAACTCCTGGAATTGCCACCAAGAGCACCCAAGCCCAGGTTCCTGGAAATGCAAGTACTCAAGAGCTCTACTTAGACCTAGCAGAACTCTTTGAACCTCTCAACATGCTCTGTGTTACAGAGTTCAAATGCCAGAGGGGGAAGCAGCCACCATATGTCTGTGTTTCCTGTTGTTTCAGTAGAAGCTATCACATGCTGCACAGTAAAAGAAGTGGATATGATACATGTCTGTCCACTGGCAACTGCTGCAACTTGTTCCTTCTGAACACTGGAAAAGAATAAATACTCTTAGGTATCCCTTTTCCCTTTTTCAACCAAAGGCAAGAACTGGCTAGAAGCAAGGTCAGAGAGAAATCATTAAACAAGCCAGAAATGTGGAAAGCATCATAAATGAAAAGCCAGCCAGCTGTAAAGGCTCAAAGGAATGTTAAACTAGTAATGTTCATGTAATTGCTGTTGCATTGCTTGTAACAGTGGGTAATTTTTTTTCCCACCTACTGAGTGTATTGCTTTGTCTCTCAGGTGATCTCTTCAGTGCCTTGGATTTTCCATTCCTGTACTTCTACAGGTTTCATAGCAGCTGCTGTGCCAGGTAACCTCTCTATATAACAGGTCATGTAAATGTTTTCAAAATAAGAGGTTCAATTGACTTCCAGCCTATACTCTCAGTTAAAAACTTCATAGCATGTAAAGCTATTCTCTCTTTACCAGGAGCCATAAGCCAGTAGAATTGCAAAGAATAAACCTTTGCATGTCTGTGGATATGCATTTCATGGCCTGAGATTCAAATGTGCTGAAAGTATGTGTATCCTTGAGTGAGTGCACTCGGACTGGGAGAGTTCCCATTCACCAGTAAAATAATGTTTACCCAATATAGCAAAGCTTTGATACGTAGCATCTCTCAAATGCTTCTGGAGTCAGATTAACCCAAACTTGCTGTTTGCAGCAATTACTAAGTATTAGTCTTCAGCAGTATATGGGTGTACATGGATTTATTTGCCTGTACATCTTGTGATTTGGCAGAATGCTGTTTTGGGTAAAAGGGAAAAGCTTTAACAAGCATTCCATTATTTTCAGTAGCAAAAGTTCACTGCATATTGGTATAATTCTCACAGGAAAACATAAATATGTTTCCCATAGATCTTAATTTTTTTTAAATTCCTGTCTTTCCCCCCCAGTCTTTTACCAAATTAAAGTATTTTTTTAAGAGGGGGAAAAAGATATTTTCATTCTAACTAATGGCAAAAATATTTCTTGAAAGGCATTTTCTGACTTGTATCTGGATTTTCTGTTGAAAGGGTATATTGGGAATGACTGTTAAATAATTTCTAATGTATATCGGTTTTTGTTATGTTTTTCCAAGTGTGGTCTATCCACACTACAAGTAACTCGCAATTAGGTATTCTGTAGGTAGGGGAAATCTATTTTTCTTGAAGGTGAGGTCTAAATGCAGGCTCTAATGGATATCAGTCTAGCCCAGATATTCTTCTCATTCACTTCATTTACCTCTGTGGTAGCTTCCCACTTCTGTTTCCATTGGCCCACCTTCAGTACATGTGTAGTAGGTAGCACTGTACACTACAGGAAAGGGAAAGGAATGGTTAGATGGAGAAACAAACATCTCAGTTGCTCTCCTACATTTTATAATCGAGTGTCTGTAGATATGTGGGATTTGAAGGAAAACCTATGCAATGTAAGCTAAGGGCAATTCATGCAGCTAAATCTACTGCCTCTGAAAAATGTGTGAAGCATCAGTAGTAATGTGGAAAGTGCTCAACTTATTTAATGAAATAAATTGCTGTTAATTGTCACATCAATATTTTAGGTATTATAATTTGCTGTTTCACTTTTTTATCTCTTGAGTTGCACTAAATATCTTCAAATCTTCATGACTGAAAGCCCTTCACAGCAGGGCAGAAGATCTGAAATAAGCTACTGGACTCTTAAAAAAGTATGGGCAATGTTGTTTCATTGAACTCATTCATTTCTCAGAGTGGAATGCTCTACTGCTCAGCACTCCATCCTCTACAACAAGTTGCTGAGTTTAGGCTTATCTTTTGTCATCAAATCAGCATCTGCTTCCTTGGCTTCAGACTTCACATGCATCCCAAAGGATCTTGTGTTATGGCTCAATGCAAAAATTCTCAATGCCTTCTACTCCTGACAAGTTATCTTACTCTGCTCTTTGGTGCCTGTATGGACATGCAGCTGAGCTGGAACTTGGCTACGTGTGTTGCACAGGAACAGCACTTGGCTGACATACTGGAGCCCAACACAGAACTTCTGACCTGAGGAGCCACCATTTTCTACCCTTCCTGCTGCTGTAGAGAGGGGACCAACTACATGGCACCTCTATCCAGAACCCTCTGTGAATACCAAGGCACTTTTTGCTTCACCACCTGTCTGCTGTGTTGATCCTATCTCCTTTTCCATGCAGCTCCCACAGCACTTTGTAATCTTATGCCTCACAGTGATTTGTGCCTTACATATTTTGAAGTCCCTTTCTGTTCCCTGCTTGCTGGATTACACCATTCCACTGGTTCACAATTAGTGGGTTGTATATATGTTACAAGTGAAACAAAATCCAGAGCCAAACCTCATGAGCTCCATAAAGTCTGTTGAGATGTGGAACAAAATTTCCTTAAGGGTAGTCTTGGCTACAGGAGTTCTGTGGACTGCTGTCCTCTAAGACTTGAGAATCAAAATTCTCTTAATCGTCAGCAGAAAACTTTGGAGTATCCTGTTCCCAGCACTACTGAGCCATCTATTTGTTATACAGTGGAGATGTATTTGACTTCCTAATTGGAATTTTGGCTTCATGAACTTTAAACAGCTTAAAAGCTTCAGGCAGAAACTTTCCAGTGGTTATTTTTTCAGTTCAAGGCTCTATGGAGGTTGAAGTGAGTTAGTTGCCAAATATGTGTGGTTCCTGCTGAAATTAACATTGCTGTTATTCAGAGCCATTTCAATGCCTGAAGTTAATATTTCACCTCATGTTTTCAATAATCTCTACTTTTCTGATTATGCAAGTGCATTAGACACCAGCCATAAGAGTGTCAGATTTACTTTATTCAGATTCTAGTCCCTGACTGAACAAAACACTAGGTGTACTGGACATAATGTAAGCCTCTTGTCCACCAGCTTTCCTTCTCCAAATGGGATTAACACTGCAGTTCTTCATTAGGAAAACCAAGATGTCTGTAAGAGATTGTTCAGTTGAAGTTAAGAGATTTTATTAACAAGCTTTCCCCATCCTTTGCAGTGGACTGTTGGGATTCTTTCTGATGTTGCACACAGTGAAGCTAAAAAGCAGCACAACCTCGGGGCAATATGCAGCCTGGAGTTTCCTTGCAAAGGTAAGAGAAAGACCCTCACAGGAACACAGTGCATCTGTGCATCTCCTAGGAGAACTGAGGAATTTCTGCATCTCTCGAGTTTCTCTTGCTATTCCTCCTTGATGCTTCCTTGGTCCTGTTTGTGCAATCTGCACATACAGCTGTGGCAACAAATATCAGGTGTGCAATATCCCAGGATCATTATCTGAGATAAAATACTGTGTGTAGACTGAGCCTAATGGAACTGGGATGATTATTGCAGCTAAGGATTTGGACTATGGCATCCCAGTAATACAAACCTATACTTTCCAAAGTGTTTTGGAGAATACTTCTTCTATGAGGGTGTGCACCAACCATTTTTGCACACAGTTTGCAGTGTGTCTTTCCTGAGCCAACAGTTACAGTTAATTCCCTGAAGTTCAATACCAGAACTCTCACTGTTTTTGTTGCAGTAGAGAGCTGAGGATGTCATTTGCCTTGACATTACCAGGGCTTTTGATGGTATGTCCCACAATATTATCATATAAAAATTAGAGTACTACAGTCTGGATGGGCAGACAACTAGATGAATAAAAAATGGTTGGAGGATCATGTTCAGAAGGTAGAGCTTAATGATTCCTTCTCTGACTGGAGTCTTGTGACAAGTGGAATGGCACAGGGATCTGTCCTGGGTCCTTTCCTATTTAACATCTTTATTGAAGAATGAGAAATAAGAGTATGCACTCACATTTTCAAGGGACACCAAACTGGGAGGACCTGTCAATAACACTGGAGGATAGGGTTGCCTTACAGAGGGATCTGGACAGACTGGAGGAATGGGGCAACAGAAATCCTAGAAAATTCATCAAGGACAGATGTGAAGCCCTGCACATGGGAAGGAAGAGTCGGTGGCAATAATAGAGCCTGAAGGCTGTATAGTTGGAAAGCAACTCTGTGGAAAAGGACCTGGAATTTTGGTAGACAGCGAGAAGGACATGATTCAGCAGTGTGCCCTGGCAGCTAAAAAACCCCAAAATATCCTGGGCTATACTTATAATAGGATAGACAGCAAATTCTATCATGACCTTCTCCTCAGGAAGTGATCATGACCTTCTCCTCAGCACTTGTTAGTCAACATCTGGAATAGGGAGCCTTGTTTCAGGCACCTCAATACAGGGAAGATATTGATAAACTGGAATGAGTTTGGCAGAGGGTTGCCAGGAAAGTCAGGGGACTGGATCACTTGTATTTTGGGGAGTGGCTGCTGGATCAGGCTTGTTCAGCCTGGAAGCAGGACATCTTTGGGAGCACCTAAGAAGCAGAAGCCACCCAGTAGCTATGGAGAAGTCATCCAGAAGACAGATCCAGGCTATGCACAGTGCTGTGTAGAGTTGTGTTAAGTAAACAGAGAGGTTCAGATTAGGTATGAGGGAAAATTTTTTCACCCCAAATACAAGTCAGGCAAGGGCACAGGTTGCCCAGGAAGGCTGTGCTGTTTCCGACTTTGAAGGTTTACAAGAGCCAACTGGATAAAGACCTAAGTAACCCAGTCTGAGCTCCTGAGGTCCATTCCTTCTGGAATTATCCTGTGATTTGGGGTCTGGCTGTACTTGATTTAAGCTATTAACAACTCAGTTTTTAAATTATTGGTGGTGAATGCAATCAAAAGAACTTCTTAGACTCCTTTTCCCTGCTTAGATTTTACTTAGTCTAGCCACTTTCATCTATGTCGTCTGAAAACCACAACCTTCTGATGTGGTTTGTGATCTCACCTTTCCTACTACAGTGAATGAAGCTGTTACATTATCACCCTCCCCACCCTAAACCCTGGATTTGCATAATATGCTTCTTTAGAAACTGTAATCAAATGAGTTTGTTTTTTGTGGGGATAACAAGAGTGGACTGATATGACTTGGTTTGTGCTTTGTAAGCTCTTCCCCACTGTCCAAGTCACATAGAGTTTCTCACTAATTTGAACTTCTTCCAAACATTCTGAGTGTGCAGAATTTTAGTACCTTAGCTTTCTTCTTACTACTTCATAGCAAAGTCTAAGATCTAAAACTTGCTCTTGAGTCTTTTGTTGTTGTTGTTGTTGTGGCTTTTTTTTTTGTTTTTTGTTTGGTTTTTTGGTTTTGTTTTTTTGTTTAACATTCTGGGTTGGAGATTGGAATAGCTGGCTCTGCTAGTAGGTGTTGTGAATGAGGGTAAGTGGTTTTACATGTGGTATTTATGACTTACTGAAAAAAAAATGCACAAAAATGTGTTGTGAAATATATTTTAAGCAGATTTGGGTCCATCCCAGATGAAGTGGATCAGAGCCATAAGGTCTGGATTGGATCAAAGTTTTCCCAGAGTTCAAGGGTTTCTAGATTTGTGGGGGGTTGGCCATCTCTAGACATAAGTGATATGAAGTTTGTTCTAGCCACTGTTGTCAATGAAATTATGTGCCTTCATAGCAACTTGAAGCTTGTCTCTGTGTCACTGGAAGAATTTAATCTGTTCTTTAGCCTTTAAAGTGCATGCTTTTTAATGTACACTGTTTAATTATCTTGCTTGGAAGGTTTTTGTAGCAGAGCAATTAGTCCTTTTCCTGTTGTAGCTTCTAACCCAGTGCTCAAATTATGTCTTATCTTGAGTTTGAAGAGGGCAATAAAAACGAATACACGAGATCTGTCTGTAGCACTAATAATTTTATCAACACTAACAGTTTCCCTAAGTCTTCCACTAGTGTTTTAAAACTTGCTATATGACTTATTTTAGAGTTCTACCATACCCATGGTAGAACTCATGAGGAGCATGGAGGAACTGCTGCTCCAAGAGCTGAAATGCAGTTTATTTGGGGTTAAAAGTCAGTGAATGCTTGAAAAGTTTGGAAGCACCATACATCAGTTTTAGAACAGGGATCAAAGCAGAGACAGACACAGACAGGCAGAAAGCAACAGCTGAACTGGAGCTTGCCTTAAGGGTAGGGGCTGATCTACTGGCTCCCAAAAACCCAAGGAACCTTGTATCTACAAGGAGCTATAAATTTATGTACTGTGTAGTTAAGATTTGAGTTCCATCTGTCTGATCATCAATACTACTTCCTGCAGGTGTTTGAAAATGGTTTAACTGTGTCCTGATCCAGCTCAGCATTGCCCAGGTATCACGGCTGTGTCAGCCACATCTTAAATCATTGTAAGTGCAGAAAAGCAGCATTTAACTAGCACTGTAAAAATCTGTTTAAGTCTAAGTGTCTGGCTCCCTTGAAAAAAAAACAGAAAAGGAAGGAAGTTAATATGGATAAAGAATAAAGATAGAAAGTATTTGTATCTGGACTTGCAGAATGGGATCCAGTGGAAAAAAAAAAAAAAAAACCACCTCTGGTCACAACAACAGCTTTGTGTTCCCACATGAGCATTTTTCTTGGATTGAGTAGTGCCCTAGATCATCCTCCTAATCTCTCAGACTGACTGGAGTTTTCACCAGCAGTTGGAAAGGAGCAGCGTTTGAGGCCAGAATATGTTTATCTTGCAAATGAGCCAAGAAAGGAGAATGCTGCAGTCCTCAGACAGCAGCACAGGCCTCCAGGGAGGTGCAGGGAATCGGAAAATCTGTTTTCCATTTGGATGCTTTGTACCTATGTGACTGATGAGCTGGGGCTGAGATCGTTGTCACAGCTTCATTTCCAATAAATTAACCATGGGATCTGATCGGCTCTGCTTTGCACATCCAAGGACACATTCCTTGTGAAGCCACATATTTGGCCTCCCTACCCTCTAATTTTTCATTCACTTAAAAACTGGAGCTGGGTCGTAACTTGTTGTTATGATCTTTACTTTGGCTGTGGCAACTTAATCAATGCACGAGGTTTTTAAATTATTTCCTGTAATGATTTCTGACAGCTCTCATGTTAGGGCATTGCTTTGCACAGAGACAGATGAAACACAGGTTTCATCTGTGTATAAAGTCCTGTGTGATAATTATAGAGACAAATGCTCTCTGCTCTTTTTCTGTGAAAGCAAATAGTATATGTGTTAGTCATATCTGTATAAATTCCTGAGAAATGCAAAAGAAATCAGTGAAGTGATCTGTATTAAAAAAAAAAAAAAAAGGTTTTTAAGAAGTCCAAGAAATACAAAATGCTTTGTCATAGCCTTGCACAGATTTAATCCCCGGAAGAGCAAGGATTTGAAGCTGTACTGAGATTTCTTGTTTTAATTTGAAAGCTGTGCTAGTATCCTGGGTCATGTACTGGAAAGAAAAAATTGGAGATGCTCATATATACAGACAGAAGCATCTGGTGAGGATGGTAATGAGCTCTAACAGTGCTGTCAGTGAGTTTGTTTTGATTAAGGTTGCCAATCTATATCTGGTGATGAAGCCTGTTAGGGTCTCTAAAAGTTAAGCAGCAGAAATGATTTAAATCATTAACAGAATGGAAAAATTCAGCAAGACACTGGTTACTTATGAATTTGTATTCCCATATCATGTTTAGTGTTATCCTAAAAAACTGGTAGTAGGGAATTCAGCTTGTTTCCAGTAAGAACCTATTGAAGAAGCTTGTTATAAACAGGAAGAACAAATGGGAAGGTCAGTGGATTTTGAATTCTCTTTTTCTTCCTTCCTCACCTGAAGAAAGGAAATTCAATAACTGAAATTAACTTGCATTGAGGTTTACTGATTTTCCTATGCATGGGTTGGAAGGAAATATAGAATCATCGGATCAGGAGTATGCAACCACTTTCTATATAAACATCCCGGGCACTATTATGTAATCTATAATTTATCTGAACAGTGTTGGAGGCTCCCTAGTGCATTAAAGCATCCTCTGACAGCTCCTTTGGTTCCTTGTTTGTTAACTTTAGATGTGTATGCCCCAGGTCATCCTGTGTTTAATGCTGGCTGCCAGACATTGCGAAAGCAGCTTTGCAGGAGTGTCTGAAAGCATCTCTTATCTGTGGGTTCTGTGTACCAACTGTACTTATACCCCAGCAGGTTTAGTCTTCTCCCCAAAGTCTTCTCCCCAAATGTATAATGGCTGTTCAGAATCCCTCCTGCTA